ATTCTAATTCTAATAAATGAATAGTTTTAATCTTCTTTTGCCAAGTGTCATTTTAATACAACTTCTCATTTAATATTATGTCATGTGTTATATAGATATATTAAGCAACTCATTTCAAAATTCAAATTTACATTTTCAAATTATATGTTAAATTTGAAGTTATAATAACTTTAAAATTTTGATATATCTCTTAATTAATAATTTATTTAAAATGACTTGTTTAAAATAATTGATTAATAATTATAAATTTTTATTATAAAATTTTAATTAATTTTATAGTAAAAACTCAAAAATATTAATTAATTATTTTGAATAAATTATTAATTATGAGACTTTTTTAGCTATATAAATTTTAATCATTGATTTAAATAAATATGTTAAATTATATATTTTATAATTTGTAATAATATTATTTTAATTTTTATTATAATGTTATTAATTTAATGTATATAGAGTGGAAAATTTGAAATTTGAAATTTGAAAAGGAGTTGACAAATTGAATGCATTAATTAGGAGACATAATAGTATGACATATGGCAAAAGGAGAATCTACCCTAATAAATGAAAATGTTATTGTCACTTGTCATTCTCTCATTTATTTGGCCACATGTCATTTTGTCATAATTTTAAATTATATTTATTTTCCACTTGTCAATTACTTCATTATTTATTTCCACTATATCATTAATTTAGTTTCCATAAATTAAACCTACTATAATAACTATTAATTTCAAATTTTAAATTTCAAATAAATTTACACTTTAAATATTTGTATTTAACATTTTATTATAATAAATCGTTTAGTACACGGGTCTAACAATTAAACACATAACTTTAATTAATTTATTTTTTGCATGTTTTTATTTTATTTTATAATTTTCACTTATTTCATATTTCAAATTCAAATAAACTTTTCATTTAATCGCTCCTGTTTAACATTATGTTTTAATTAACCCGTATAATATACGGGTTTCACAACTAGTAAAATATACATTAATTATGAGGCCTAATAGGATGACACATGTCAAAAAGAGAATAAAACTATTTTTTTATTAGAATAGGATATATATATATATATATATATATATATATATATATATATATATATATATTAGTTCCCTTGATATTAATAAAAAATTAGAGATTGTGAGACAGGTGGATAGCCCTAGAGATTGTGGTGGTATCATAATTGTAAATATATTGGTAACTTTTCAAATTAACGTTGTTAGTAACTATTGTAGGGCTAGTATTGTAATTTTGCAAATAATCATTTCAGTTTTGGAGAGGCTACAATAGTGTAACCGCCTATACTTTTGTTTTTTTTCTTGATCAGAATCTCACTTAGAAACTCTTACAAAAACCCTCTTTTTTCTTTCTTTATTGCATTTTTCCTTAGTTTTCGTTTGTTAGTTGTGCAAATTAAGTATTAAAAATCACTAAATGTCTTTAGGAGAAAATCTAAACGAAATCGCATCTTCGTTAATCGGAATGAAAGGTTAGAATGTGAGTAATTTTTCATTTTATTTATAATGCATGTTTTTTTTTTTTTTTTTTTTTTTTTTTTTTTTTTTTAAATTAGTTAACTATAGTTTTATACTGATAATGATGATTTTTTTATTCAATTGTTTTTTTTGTCATTTTTACTTGCTTTTGATGTTTTTCTCATTTACAGTTAATCTTTTATTTTTATTTTATTTTATTTTATTTTTATGTTTGATTGTTGTGGTTTTTGATGTAAGTAGTTGTTTACATTTTTATAGATAAGGATTTCAAAAGAAAATATGTTCGAGAAAATTTCAAAAATCAAAAAAATCTCGAAGGCGGTAGAAGTGGTGTTATTTCGGAGGGTACAGTTCAAATAATCGATGTTCAAAGAGGTTTCTATGATATTTTTTGTCTCATTTTCTTCTATTATTTGTTTATTCATAATTGATTATCATATTTTTGTGATTATGTATTTATATGTATCAAACATGAAGATCTTTCAGGAGAAGTTAAAGAGAAAATTCAAAGAGAAGAAATGTTAAAGGTATTTGTTGTAATCATAATTGATTTTGTGACGTTTTAATGGATTGAACATAACATTTATTTATATGTTTCTTTTGGTTCTAATCATAAATGGTTTTATATGTTTGTGTATAATCACTGGTAAATAGTAATGATAAATGTATTTTTTTACAATCATTAGTGATTGTGTGATTTCAAATCATAGTTTATTTTTTATTCATTATTGATTATTATATTTTGTAATTATATATTTTATGTATAAAATGTTAATATGAAGATCTTTTTGGAGAAATTAAAGAGAAAATTTCAAAGAGAATAAATGTTAAAGGTATTTGTAGTAATCATAATTGATTTTGTGATTTTTTCAATGGAGTGAACATAACATTTAGTTGTATATTTATTTCTAGCTCTAATCAGAAATTATTTTATACGTTTGTTTATAATCATTAGTAAATAGTAATGATAAATGTATGTTTTTATAATCATTAGTGATTGTGTGATTTAAAATCATAGTTTATTAGTCATATGCATTTTTGTTCTGTATTAGTTACTAATTATGTTAATTTTTTGTAGTAAATGCTTATGTTTATGAGAAGGAAAATGAAGATATTTTTGAGAAAAAAAATCCAAGGTTAAAAATGATAAAGATATGTTTTTGCAACCATAAGTGATTATGTTTCTTCATTTGTAACTGACTATATGTATTATGTTTTCTTTTTTACTAACACTATTTTTTCTAATAAAAATTGTAGTTAAAAAAAGGTAATTAAGACAGACACGATCATCTTCCAAAAAAGAAAAGGCTAAGGAGGTGGTGCAAACACGATCAAAGAAATCCAAAAAAACAGTTATTGAACAACCAAAAGTGAACTTGACTGTTAAAGGAAAGAAATTAGTTTTTGAGAAGGCCAAAACTATAAGCAAGAAACTTGAACTATCTGATGAAGATGATTCTAATTTTCAGAGTCTTCCTGAATGTTCAAAGAAACCAAAGAGAGAAGCTAAAGTTGTGAAGAAAGATAAAAAAAAGTTGTTGTTATAAAAGAATTTCCTTTACTGAGAACAGATGTTCACCGGGTCATTGTTGGATGTTATTCAAGGTTTAAGTAGAGAACATAAGGATTGTGTTAGTGCTATGGAATTTAGGAGTTTGTTATGGATGAAGATGATTGACATACCATTAAATATTTTTTTATTATGTTCTTGATCATTTTAATTTTGAAACTTTGAAGGTGGAGTTTGAGAATTGTCAAGTTTGTGTTGATAGTAAATCTATTCATGAGATGTTAGGATTACCATCTGGTGGCTCATTACTTTCAAACATGGATTACATTTCCAAGAATAGTGAAGAGAGCTATATGTATGAGTGGAATAAACAGTATGGAAATATTGATAATATGGTATTGAAACATCTAAAGAATGAACTTGTTCGAACTAGTGCAGTGGATAATATTTTTAGAATTAATTTTTTGGTTCTTTTTATTAATACATTATGTGAGTCTACAAGCATGGGTAAGTTTAATCTGAATCCATTGTATTTAATCAGCTAAATGAACTTGTTCGAACTAGTGCATCGGATAATAACTTTAGAATTAATATTTTGGTTCTTTTTATTAATACATTATGTGAGTCTACAAGCATGGGTAAGTTTAATCTAAATCCATTGTATTTAATCAGAAGAGATACATATTTATGTACTATTAGTTGGGGTGATTTCATTGTCAATTGTTTGGTAAGGAAGAAAAAGGTTTACAAGATAGAGAAAGAATATTCTTTCTTTTATGGACCAACAACATACCTTATGGTACGTGAGCTAAATTTTAATATTAAATCTTCGTTTTAGTTGTAAAAATATGTTTGTTTTTATTTTTAATCATATATGATTGTATAATCATATATGATTAATTATATATAACAGATCATAATCATATAAGATTATTTATATATATTATTATTAATGATATATTTGGTTTGTATAAATCCAATATGATTGTATAATCATATATGATTATATAGTCTAATTATATACTACATATCATAATCATATACGATTATTCATATATATTATGATTAATTATATATCACATAGCATAATCATATATGATTATTCATATATATTATGATTAATGATATATTTGATTTGTATAAATCATATATGATTGTATAATCATATATGATTATATAGTCTAATTTTTGTTTAATTATATATTAGACATTATAATCATATATGATTATTCATATATATTATGATTAATGATATATTAAATTGTATAAGTAAATCTTTTTAGAAAGTTAACTTATTTGTTATATATGTTTTTTGTAGTTGTTGTATGTTGATAGTTTCAAGTTTGATCATTTGCAAGTCACACGTAAACATCCAACTATATTTTATTGCACGTCGGAGAAGATAAGGTTTCTTGAGGATATTTTACAAGAGAATGGAAAATTTGGATGTGGACATGTTAATGAACCATATGTTGAAGAAGAATGTTAAGAATCTAAGTATAATGAGGATGAATCTGGTGGTGATGAGGATGAATTTGATGGTGATGAGGATTTATGCGATGAGGATGAAGAAGAGATTGATGTTAATATAGTTGGTGTTGTGGAGGTAATTTTATAGTTTTATTCGTATATAATTTTATTAGTGTATTCATTTATGACTTTTTATGATTAAGTATTTTCAATTATATGTTTTCTTATGTAGGTGTATGAAAGTAAAATTCCATATATGTATCAGAAGATGGAGGATTTGAAAAAGGATCTTGTTGTAAAGATAGATGAGGGAGTGTTGAAGTTTTCTCATTGTCAAAATTTGAAAAATTGGATATTATTATTTCTTGTTAAAAATTTTAGGAAAGAAAGTTTTCATTTCCATTATGTTTCACAACAAAGTAAAGAACCAATATTGACACCCGCTTTTGTTTAAGTTAATGATGATGAAAAAATCACAGAAGTAAATCATGATGAAGATTATGGTAATGATTTTCTGAATGATCATGAAAATGTTGTTGAATGATGATCAAGGGAAATGTTGTGGTGCTCAGGGGGATAGGAGTTGTCCACATGAGGGCAATATTGGTAAAAATGATGTTGAAGGTAAAGGTGATGTTAATGATCATGCATATGAGGACGATGTTGATAAAAATAATGATTTTTTGAATGAGAAAGATAATGAAGATGATGAACAACGAAATGGAAGTGGATTCAATGAAAAAGAGGCCATGAAATTAAATTCTATCGAAAATGTTAGTAAGAGTGTTGCTAATTGATAGCCAGGAAGGTGTATCTTTTAGTCAATATATATGCGATCCAGTTGTTGAAAGCTTTCTAAAGACTTTGGATCAAGGTAAGCATATGTTTTTATTATATATAGTTTAATCATATATGATATTAATTTTTTATATTTGAATTTTATAGGTATTGAAAACTTGGTTGATGGTTGTATAAATCAGAAAGTATTTATTTATGTATTTTTTATGCATAAAATATATATGAATACGTTATATAGTTGATTAACTTATGATTTCAATAATTTAGGGACTGTAAATTTTGGAGAGGATGATCATAAGAAAGAAGTAATTTTAGATCACACTGTTGATAAAGTTATTGTAGAAAAGAAGAAAGAAGATGATTAATTCATCGAAGTTTATTGAAAGGTTTTGCTGAAGTGTTAGTTGAACTTTCTAAAGCAAAGAAGGATGGAGAAGGTGAAGGTGTTGAATTTGATTCAGATTTAAGGAAAGCAATAGAAGATTGTGCAAATAAGAATAAACATTGAGGTAGTTAGTTTATAATTATTGTTTATTCATATATGATTGTGTTTATAATTGTTGTTTATTTATATATTATTTTTATAATATTTTTGGGTAGAAACTGCTAAAGAAGGTTTACAAATTATACAATGAAAGATTCAAACTTGACTCAATCATTGAAAAATGACAATACATAAAGGAAAGTTGAGAAGTTTTATTGTCCAAGTTTTAGACTTGGATGTAGTCAAGATTCTTAAGGTTCCAAGAAGGCATCTCAAAGTCAAAGTTCTCCTGAACAGATAACTAAGAAAAAGATTAAGGATTGAGTTTATTTGGGAAAACCAAGTGGTGGGCCAGAGTGTGTTGTTCCAAATATTGATTTTATGTTAGTCCAGTTTCTTTTACACCCCTTTGGGTACATTAGAAGGACCATCAACACCAATTTCCAACCATGCTAGAGTGATAAATAAAAAAGTCCATCAAAAGCAAAGTCTGGAAAACCTAAAGATATAAATGAAGAAGGAACATTAAAAGTAGATTTCAAAGTAAAGATAGAAATGAAGTTTTCTTATGTTTATAAGTCACCTTTTAAGGAAATGTTAATTGATTTTAAACCAAGTTTGACACAAGTAGAAAATGTTGTTTGTGAATGGCCTTTCAGACTTCAAGGAAATCCAGGGTAATTATTTTAAATATAACTTTTTATTTTTATTAACATTTAAATATATATCTACATGGATATGGTCTTCCTTATGGAATCATATCTTATGGATCTTAGAGCTAATTATGAAAGTCTTTATAAAAATACCTATTTGCATGTAAGTGTTCTTGATTCATGGTCTCGTATACTAAATCATGAAGAGAAATTCAGAGATGTTGTTAATTCTCCACTCAATTTTTTCATGAATGTTGATACTGTAAGATTTTTTTTTTTTTTTTATATTTTGATAATCATTAATAATTTTTTTATTAAATATTTACATTTTATTATATAATCATTTCTGATTTTTTTATATTACAGACTTTGTCATTTTAAAATAATCATTTGAAGGAAATTGGAAAATATAAAGTTTCAAGGACAACTTCTCTTTCAGTGTTTCTGGTGATAGAGACTTGAAGGTTTTGAAGGATGTTGATATGGTATATTTAGTATGTATATGTGTGTGTGTGTGTGTGTGTGTATATATATATATATATATATATATATATATATAATGTTTTCTTTCTAATATTATACATGTTGATGTTAGATATTTTTCCCTGTTTTGAGGCAAAATCACATATATCTTATTGTTATCAATCTGAAGAAACTTGCTTTTACGGTTATTGATAATGCTGATTTTGATGATAAGTATGGTCCAATTTTTAAACCACTGGTAAGTTTCAAATCATATTAAATCTTTAGATTTAAAATCATATATGATATGTTTTATAATTATTATACTTATATTTTTCTGAGTTCATATCATATATGATTTTCAGGAAAAAAAAAATTGAAGTATCTAAAAGAGATCAATCATGCTAAAGCAAATGAAATGGTTTATAAAAATCATACACTAGTAAGATTGATAATGCCATGGAGGACAGGTTACAACAAATTGGATTGTGGTGTTTTTGTTATGAGACATATGGAGTGTTATTTTGGAGAAAAGGTTTTAAATGGAAATGTGGTCTTCAAAAAAAAGGTCATTCTCAAGATTTTTTTGGAGAAGTTGAGAATGAAATATGCAGCAACAATTTTTACTTTTTAGAGTAATACGAAGCGTGATGATGTGTTCCAAGTTGCATATGAGTATGAAAAAGTTGATACAAAGATTCATTGTAAGCATTCATATCATGCTTAATGGAATATAAAAACAAGGTTGTCAAGTTTCTTTTTATTGAAGATTTTGGAAGTAAATGGATGATGTTTTAAGAACAAGTTTGTTTATGTTGTCTTTATGTTATGGATATTTTGAAGAATGTTTGTTTTTATGGTGATGGAAAACAAATTTATATGCAGTTTGATTGATTTTATTATTTAATTTTGTTTATGTGAATTATGTTATTAAATGTTAATCTTATGTGATTATGTTATATTTTTATATGTAATTATGTTTTTAATACGTATTATATGTTGTTTATATGTAATGATTAGTGATTGTATCAATTAATTTTTTTCCATATTTTTGTAATCATAAATGATTGCATATGTTGAACAGCATATTATAACTTATTATATTTTTTTATTGATAATTGAGCTTATCTTGAGTACATTGAATATATCACCATGAATAATCTTACCTTTTTTAGATTTTGTTTTTGTTTTGTAGTGTTTGTAGTGAAGAATCTTAGTTTTATAAATTAAAGCAAATCAAGTTTTTCATTGAGTTGTGAATCTACTTTTATCAAACGGGTAGCCTCGTGCTACCTCTTAGATTTGGTTAAAGATGAGGGGTTATACTTCTTCAATGGTTAGTTTTTTATATTAACTCTTCAATTTTAATTTTTTTTTTTTAATGTATTACCATTACTTATTTCTGATGTAAACAACTTCCTTTTCATTTTAGGTAAATTATGGATTCTATAATTGAAGAAAGAACTAATTTTTCTGTATCTTATAACATGTTCCTTATTTTTTTTCAAGATTCTTGTTCTTATATTTATAGCTAGATTTTCATACATATTGTAGCTGGCTCCGAGAACGTCACTTCCACCATTACTTAAAAAGTTTATCATCATTTAATATATCAGATATTTACTATATGTCTTTGAAGTAGAGGAATGTTGTTCATTTAAAGAAGATTTCTTTTTAATGAACAACATTTCTCTACATCAGATATGTAGTAAAGATTTTGTATGTACAGTGGAGGTAATCTTTCTAAGGAATGATGGAAGTGTTCTTGGAGTCAGCTACAATGTGTATGAAAAATCTAGCTATGAATACGAAGAACAAGAATCTTGGAAAATGTGGAATGTGATATTTGAGGCTTGTGAAATTATTTCTTATTGAAGATTTTATCAATTTTGATGTTATTCTATGATGGGTGATTAGAAGTTGCTTTTCTAGATGAATATGGTAACGTTTATATTTTTTATGAACAGTGTTGTTGCATATTTGTTAAGAACAATGTTGTTGTATATGCTTATATCTAATGAGATTTTTAGTAGAACTTAGATGTTATTTCAATGTAATAAAAAAGGATTAGATGTATTAAATAACAAGTTATATGTAATAATAAATGACTACATGTATTGAATAACATTAACAAATTACATAATTATTTCTATTAGTATAATCGTAAATGATTATGTAATAGCACTTCATATGTTTTGTTTAATCATAAGTGATTATATACTTTTGTAATCATAAAATACATAAACTTAGATATAAGAAGGTTCAAGATAGAAAATTTTCAAGAAAACTGATTTGTTGTACTACTAATAAAATCAAAGAAAGAATTGTCAAAGTAGAAAGAATTCAGTAAACAAAATCATAGTAAATCATGTCTTGTAAAAAGAGTAAAACGCATCAAACAAAAAGTATATTATTTTGAAAAACAATCATGACTTATTCATTACTGATTAAACTGGTAATTCTCTATGTAGCTTTTGGTAATTGTTGTACTGTAAGTTTGATTGGACATGTACGCAATTTATAAGGAGCCCTTGTCCACATCCTGAGCATCTTCTTGTTTGCATGTTTGAATTTTTATATGCTATTTCTGCTACACTTTGAATTATGTTTTTCTTTCCACTTCCTTTATTGCTTTGAACATTTGGAACATTGATATCAATGTCTTTTGGAATAGAAATTCCTATAAGCTTTCCTACATCTTCAACATTGTTAACGTTACCTAACGGACACGTTACATGTAATGAAAATTGTAACAAAAACTTTATTACCTTAGCTAACACACGGACTTGGTCTAATCAAGCCAAGGCCGGGGCAGCAACTCATTTCTCATCACATGGTAAGAATATTCCATGTGATTTTCTCATTCACTCACATCCAATGAGAAGGCAACAAATAGCTCGGGTGATGCCCATAACTGACGTCACCTGATAGTTATTTAGTGTGAATAGCTCTCCTAGTAAGAGGAGGCCACATTTCATGCTCACGAGGCACGATCCCCACGATCTGTCAGTAATAGGTACAAAAGGATCTCTTCCGCCTCAAGGAAGGGATCCATCTTCTCTCTTATGAATATTACCCCCAACTTTCTCTCTCTCTCTCTCTCTCTCTCTCTCTCTCGCTATCCCTCGGAAAACTAAAGTGATCGTCGGAGTGATGTCTTGGGAGAACACTCGGTCATCCTTTAAAGATTCTTTTGTGATTGTGCTCTCAGCCAAGCACCCAAGTCAGATCCATCGTTCAGCATCCAAACCATATGTGAACGTGTCACAACATTTGGAGAGAGAGAGAGAGAGAGACACGAACCATCTCAGGTGATGATATCACATATCCCATCAATCACAATAAGAATAGCATAACCAGGCCTCCAAATCAATTTCCAGAAACTGTCATCAGATATCTCACAAAATCCGATGTCGATATCAAATCCCAATATGTTGCAGATGAGTCCATTTGATGACACTGAGGTATCCACTATCACTAACCCCCGTAAGAGGAACGCACCCTGCCATGCAGAAAGACGGATTGAGGCACTCTCTAGAAACCTACTCAACATCAATTTCTCGAGCAACGATCCCAGACCATCAAATTGGGATCCACGAGACCCACTCCTTATACCAGGGGTCATTCGTAACACGAAGGTCCACCGAATATACATTGATAATGATAGTTGCTCTGATATACTCTATGAAAATTGTTTCCAACAACTACCTGATACGTGGAAGGAAGGGCTCTAACCCCTAACCGGTGGACCATTATCACACCCCAA